TGGCAGCCCTGAAAACGAGCCCACGTCTCGTACGCCAGAAGCGCAGCCAATACAGTCGCCACTGAGCCAAACCATGCCGGAATCAAGCAACACACATCGTTCATCGTCATGCTCACTCCCAGCATGGAAAGGGCCCTGCGAATAAGGACGCTTGTGATCTGCAGTCCAGGAAAGATGGTTGTGCCCACGGGCCGACCAAGCGGATACCAACTCATGTAGTCGTACCAGTGGAAAAAGGCATCCCACCCGTGCTCGTCGAGGTACTCCGACGCTCGGAAGTTGAACCACGGATCAAATTCGTGGATAATCCAACCGTACACACGAATGGAAATCATACGAATGCTGTAGGCGCGGTAGATTGCGAGAGCAATAATAAATACATTGAGTATGGAGATGACCCGTCTTGCTGTAGGGTAATCAAGTGGATATTTTCCACACAGTGTTAATTGTGCTGTGTTCATTCTTTACCTATGGGTTAAAAGTGTGTGTGGTTTAAGGAGTAACTTGTAACCGTATTGTTTTATTTCCCTTTTCCTTCTTCGTTTACCTTCTCTTTTTTCGTGTATATATATATTAAATTTCTTTCTTAGAATAATATAAAATACAAACAGTACTACTATAGATTGTGCAGCGGGTGACTTCTGTGTTAAGTCGTAGACCCACTTTCTACTTTTATAAGGGCCAATGTTTTCCTCTTTGATGCGTGGTTACTTGTTTTCCTATTTCAAGCGTTTCCTAACCGTCGTATTCAAATATCCGGTGCAATGTTTTCTTAAATAATATTATATCAACACGTTATTATTATTATTATTATTTTTGTTTGTTTGTTTGTTTTATTTTATTTACTTTCTTCTCTCTCTCTTTTTTTTTTTTTTTTTTTCTTTTTTTTTGGTGCTTTTCTTCCAAATTTTTTGTGTGTGTGTTTTTAGAGATATGGCTGTCTATTTCCCCTTTTGTAATGTGAAGAGTAAAAAATAAAAAATAAAAAATAAAAATAAAAAAATTTCAGTTCGTGTTGTCCCGCGTTGGGTGCCCTCACCCTCACCGCTCATGTATTCACAGAAACGGTGTACACATGCATCACCAGCGTGGTGGGGAACAGTCGATGTACACTGCGATGCGTGTTAATGGAGGGGAGGGGAAGAAGGGAGAAGAGAAGGGGGGTTTTGTGCGGTGGG